TGTCATGAAACAATTACTCAGTTTCCCCGATTCTATTCAAAACGTCAGTATTAAATGGTGTCATGAAACAGTTACTCAGTTTCCCCGATTATATCTCTGATATCGATAGCTAAGTACTACCTTGATGATATACGGTAGTACTCTCAAACATATCCATACAATTTGGGGGGTGGGGGGGGGGGGGGGGGGGGGAGTGGGGGCACGGGTGGCCCAGTCGTCTAAGGCGCCGCGATTCGCTGTGCAGAGTTGCCTCCCTTGGGCACGCCAGAAACCTATGAGTGTGGGTTCAAATCCCGGTTCACCCCAATTATGTTTCTAGGTTTGTCAGCACCATACCCGTGTTCGTGGGCTTCACCGAAGTGGTAAACGTCTGGGACCTGCATCACTTCGGGCTTTCCTCCTACATCAAGCTGACACGCCGTGATATAACTGGAATACTGTTAAAAGCGGCGTTAAACCCAACTCACTCACTCACTAAAGCGAGAGGATAGAAGTTGAGTTTAACACTGTTTACAGCTATATTTCATTATAATCACTGCGGTCGGTGTACGTGACTAGGTTCTTGAAGTCCATCACTGGATGAAGCCGATCAGAATTGGGGTCAAACAAGGGGAAGCAATGTGAACCAAGCAAGCAGCGGGTCAGCTGATGTATCTTGTCAAAGGATAAGGACGTTTAGATATTAATGTTTATTTAATATAGTTGAAGTTTGATTCTTCGACTTCTCTACACATAATCTTTACTCTAAAAGTATCTTCCAAATCAATCAATATTGGGGCTCAGTTATCAAGGTAGTCGGGTGGAACTTTTAGTCGAGTATTGAAGGACTTCTCTGAAAATCGGCATTGAATGAATTGGTTCCATGTGGACATTAGGCGCTTGTACACGTTGAATGTTTTATGTCATGTACGTAGTGTATAGATATATATGTCAATGTGTGTTTATGATGGTGCCAGACCTACGATGAGGTACGTTGTGTGGTGTATTCGAGTGCTCGAGTAACTATTGTCTTTCCCAGATGTAAGCTTGAGTAATAAGAATGCCAATAATAGCATCATAAAAGGGCTTCGAACATTGCAACTTTGAGGAGAATCAAGGACCGTCATCAACGTGACGAGCAAACCCTTTATCATAACCACTGTGCTACCCTCCGCTCATGTATGTTATGAACTTCATCCTCAGTGGTGGCGTCATCATCATCATCATCATCATCATCATCATCATCATTAATCATCCATCATCATCTACATTCATCATCATCGTCTATCGCCATGACCATCTTGATCATCAATCATCTTCATCACCTTCATCATCATCAATCATCCATCACTCTGAGCACAAAGAGGGCGCCCCAAATCAATCGTTGATATATTCAGATACGACTGAGGCAAGTAACACAGGTGATCTTATATTACAGTAACTCGACATACACATAAAGTCCCACATCAGCATGAATTACAAACACGTGATCAGCACAGTGACCCGAACATTAACCTCCTTTGAACTAGACAGGCGTTCTAACCTCTGTAAGAGACTTATCCACGCCGCTGGAACCATCATTCAAGTTTTCCGACCTACTTCAAAATAATTATCCAATTTACTAACTCCCATCCTTTGAAATATAGGCAGCCTTTACAGAAAGCCCAGTTTCCCAGAACCGCCCCGTGTCGTGGAGAGTCTCTTCCTGCATGGTGGCCACGAGACTTGAACGAGACCACGAGTAGCCATTGTTAAATGTCCTCTGATAACAATCCAAAAGTTTCTTCCTTCCGCCACTTGATGGCGCTGACCCAGATTGGCACGAGTGTTTTAACAGAAGCTTGAAATACAGGTGCCACATGCTTTCTGGGAAAGTTGGCATGTTTCAATGGATAAAACAAGGGATACTTTCAATAAGCATGTGCCCTATACAGCTCAAGTAGCGGAGCGTTTTCCTCCTTGTCTTATCGCGAACATTTAAGAGCACATTTCTCATTAGATTTTTGTCAGATAAAATACTTAAAGTTTGACTTAAAGTTCTAGTTCTTGACATAATGTTAACTTTGACCGCCTTCCGCAATATAGAGCAACGACCTGTCAGTCAGAAGTGCGTCATCGGTTATGTTACGTCCCGCACAAATCGGCAGCATGTGGTCAATTAGAACATGTATATGTTCTATTGTAATTCCCTTTGCGGATAAATTATCAAGATTCAGCAGACTGAAACCGACTGTGTCTTTGCAAATATATTTTGGTCGATTTCATATTAACCACAGTCTACCATGTGGTTCATAAATAACATTGAATGCATTAAGTGTTTAAAAGGCATTTAGTGATACACATAAGGAAGAGAATGTATGGATGTCTACTTCTTTATTATGAGGAACACGGCGTTTCGGAGTATATACTTACTCCTTCATCATTTTGATAGAGTAAGCCATGGACACTTAATACTATATTTACGGTCCATGATTAAACATATACTCCGTAACGTTGTATTCCTCATGATAAATAAGATGACATCCATAAATTCTCTTTCTTATTGAATGCATTCTTTGATCAAAATTCTTAAATCAACTTGTCTTTCATAAGTACTTATTTCATAAGACAAATTCAAAATACAATTGCAGACATTTTGTAGTGTGTGCATTCGCAAGTTCATTTGTTTAGTTCCTTCATCTATAGAAATACCTCAATAGCTATGCCTTAAGTTTGTAGTTTATTAAGGTTTGACCCATGGGTTTTCCTCGGAATAGGGTAACTTATGCTGGTCGTAAGAGTGGAGTTTACGTGGTCAGACTCTGTGTGTTGGTTGATTTAGTGTCACCGTACCCCGCAGCGAAACCATTGCCCATGATATCAACCACTGGACTGTCTGGTCTTCACAGGACGCAGCTTGAATGGTGGTGAGCGTGGCGTTAAACAACAGACACACATATACACAAGGACTGACTTACTCATCGCTTGTACCAACACATTCCATCAGAATCGACCACGTAGAAAACATAAACTACGCCGTGAAGTTAATTTGAGGTTTGTCAGATATATCAGGTCACCGGTTGAAGCATGTAGCTAAACATTCGCACATGTACAAGACATGATACGTAGATCATAGATATAGTTGTAGAGATTCACTTGTGCAATCAGTTGAAATGAGGGAGACAGGAGATATTTACAGAATGTAGTTATCATTCCAACATTTTCCAAATGCATAAATGACTTAATCATGTTGCTCGCAACTTCCAAATCTTGGAGAGGTCATTCGTTTACAACGGTGGAGATGAAAGTCTGGCACGTTACATTTTAATCATTCAAACGCCCAGCAATCAATACGGCTGAGTTGGTTATATTGTGTAAATACCCATTCTGACTTCCCTCTGTCCAATGAACCAAAGTTCACATTTAATCTGCAATGCCCTTACGACGTCTAGGAACACGTTTCCATCAGCCGTGTAGTTTACTGTCTGTCACAGAACCATGTCTTGTTGTAGACATGGCGTCACCAGATTTCCGTGATCACACAATACACTCCATATACAAACCGCGCTACCATACAGCACTCCACCCTGTCGACACTGAGATGTTGACAGGGCCTAAGTTCACCGGCAATAACTGCTCGTTTTCAAAGTTCAAGAACATTCCTATAAACAACGTTTCACAGTGATAAGTTCTTGGAGATGAAGTGCAAGGCTCTAGATGTATTGTACCAGAGTTCCAAAGTCGTCTTCTTGTATTTAATTGACTTTAATGGCATATCCTCATCACTAGTGTGATTGTTCGTATTTCACCAATATATTTTTAACTGAAACATGTATTAATCATTTCAACTATTAAGAACTTTTAACAATCCTCAATCATCTTAATTGTGTCAGGTTAGCTATTCAATTTTGCTTTCTCATAATCATATAACGTTACTCTCATACCAACAACCAAATTAAACATATTTACTTAGTCGCTTTAATCACTAGGCTACCTCACCGTCCCCGCAATGCCGGGATGGTTTCATATACACAGAGGACGTGTTTTCGAGCTGAGCGTTTTAATACGAACGCCACAGGTAGCAATATTATGGCTATGTCACGGCGGAATGGAAATAATGGAGACTGGACCAGACAAACCACATTAGAGGTGAGATCCAAACCTTCAGCCATATGATTCTGCGTGATGCCTATTTAGGTTAGTCTTTCATGGACTGGGGGCACGGGTGGCCCAGTCGTCTAAGGCGCCGTGATTCGCTGTGCAGCGTTGCGTCCCATTGGCACGTCAGAAAACTATGATTGTGGGTTCGAATCCCGGTTCGCCCCGATTATGTTTCTAGGTTTGTCAGCACCATACCCTTGCTCGTGGGTTTCACCGAAGTGGTAAACGTTTGAGACCTACGTCACTTAGGGCTTTCCTTACACATTAAGCTGACACGCCGTGATATAACTGGAATACTGTTAAAAGCGGCGTTAAACCCAACTCACTCACCCACTCTTTCATGGACTCCTTTACTTTCCTTTAGCAATGTGACAGAGGTAGATATAGGAGTGTCAGAAAAAACACTGACATTAGAGCCTTATTCCTCCCCCAATTTCCCATCGGCCATGTTTGGCCTCGACATCCCTATGTTCATTTGTTGTATAAACTTTAAGACAGGAAGACATGATGTCAATTTATTATATAGCATGCAGATTATGAAGTTACAGATTAGTATCAGCAGATGTTTCTTCACATTTCAAAAGGAATCACAGAAAGAGACCTTGTAGTTTTCATATTTGGTATGAGGCCCTGTTCCTCCCCAGAATCCTGTCGATCAAGATTTCTGGTTAAGCCCCCTTCATATTGCATGTTCGTACCATAAACTATAGGAATCATAACAAGCCATGTTGTTTGCTAGCCTGACATGCCCTATCGCTTGTTAAAAGGTTACACCTCCTGCACCAGATGGTTTTCGTTGAAAAAGGAAACTTACCAAAAAACAAATGTTGCACAAACGAATGTGTTTGTTTTATATCCGAGCAGTCCTTTATTGCCCAGCAATGACTTCCGTTGCGAGTGTTCAGCCTATTTAGAGTTTCCAGAGCTTTCCGACATGTATATACAGGTTAGTGATGGAAATACTGCATGTATTGTAGTGAGTGTCCTATATCGTCGCCAGTATTGTTATACGTGGTAGTTGGGAGGTGTAAGACCAATTGTTATGGTAGGTTTCTCTGTTATTGTTTCTTGATGCTTAAGCTCAGACCTGCATTTACTTACACCATTAACATACCTGCGTTAAGTGTGCAGAGTATACAGAAATGTCAACACCCTAAACCTAATACTGTAAATCTCCGTGGGCATTCCAGGGCAAAACAGGCCCTAAACACTCAGTGCTCGTCTTCCCGTGGGGAGTCCGGTGTAGAATAGGCCCTAAACACTCAGTGCTCGTCTTCCCGTGGGGAGTCCGGTGCAGAATAGGCCCTAAACACTCAGTGCCTGTCTTCCCGTGGGGATTCCGGTGTAGAATAGGCCCTAAACACTCAGTGCTCGTCTTCCCGTGGGGAGTCCGGTGTAGAATAGGCCCTAAACACTCAGTGCCTGTCTTCCCGTGGGGAGTCCGGTGTAGAATAGGCCCTAAACACTCAGTGCCTGTCTTCCCATGGGGAGTCCGGTGTAGAATAGGCCCTAAACACTCAGTGCTCGTCTTCCCGTGGGGAGTCCGGTGTAGAATAGGCCCTAAACACTCAGTGCCTGTCTTCCCGTGGGGATTCCGGTGTAGAATAGGCCCTAAACACTCAGTGCCTGTCTTCCCGTGGGGAGTCCGGTGTAGAATAGGCCCTAAACACTCAGTGCCTGTCTTCCCGTGGGGAGTCCGGTGTAGAATAGGCCCTAAACACTCAGTGCCTGTCTTCCCGTGGGGATTCCGGTGTAGAATAGGCCCTAAACACTCAGTGTCTGTCTTCCCGTGGGGAGTCCGGTGTAGAATAGGCCCTAAACACTCAGTGTTCGTCTTCCCTTGGAGATTCCGGTGCAGAATAGGTCCTCAACATTCAGTGCCTGTCTTCCCGTGGGGAGTCCGGTGTAGAATAGGCCCTAAACACTCAGTGCCTGTCTTCCCGTGGGGAGTCCGGTGCAGAATAGGCCCTAAACACTCAGTGCCTGTCTTCCCGTGGGGATTCCGGTGTAGAATAGGCCCTAAACACTCAGTGCTCGTCTTCCCGTGGGGAGTCCGGTGTAGAATAGGCCCTAAACACTCAGTGCCTGTCTTCCCGTGGGGAGTCCGGTGTAGAATAGGCCCTAAACACTCAGTGCCTGTCTTCCCGTGGGGATTCCGGTGTAGAATAGGCCCTAAACACTCAGTGCTCGTCTTCCCGTGGGGAGTCCGGTGTAGAATAGGCCCTAAACACTCAGTGCCTGTCTTCCCGTGGGGAGTCCGGTGTAGAATAGGCCCTAAACACTCAGTGCCTGTCTTCCCGTGGGGATTCCGGTGTAGAATAGGCCCTAAACACTCAGTGTCTGTCTTCCCGTGGGGAGTCCGGTGTAGAATAGGCCCTAAACACTCAGTGTTCGTCTTCCCTTGGAGATTCCGGTGCAGAATAGGTCCTCAACATTCAGTGCTCGTCTTCCCGTGGGGATTCCGGTGTAGAATAGGTTCGTAACACTCAATGCTCTTCTCTTGGGGATTTCGGCTCAGAATAGGTGGTCAACACTCGGTGCACTCTCTGCAATAAATCAGCTAAAGGACAGCGGCCTGTAAATTATAGAATCTGGTCCAGACAATTAAGAGATTGATATAATGAGCAACGATCCATGCCGTTGAGGTACGGTGACATGCTGTCATCCACGTCACCGAGCCCGACCAACCAATTTATTAAGTCACCTCGACAAGCAGAGGTTGCTGGGACCTGTTCTAACTTTGAATCCCTCAAAAACTCAAAATCATGTGCAGTCGAACCGCGTTGTGTCAAAGTCATGCGGACCTGCAAAAAGTTACCAGGAGTTCGAGGCATCAGGGGATTTTATGCTTAATATGGATACTTGGAACTCTTGGAGAGAAAACCGGGAATTCGATACATCAAAGTTCGACACAACGAGGTTCGACTGTATAGGACAATAATAATATATGAGAGATGTGCATGACGTCATTACATCATGACAAAAGAAAAGTATTTGAAAAAACTGATTTGTTTTTGTTATTGTGAGGACGTAACAATTTATCAATACTTTTGTAGCTTCTACATACTAAATAAATAGCTATTGTCGCTCTTGCTAGAGACCGTTTTTAGTAACCTTGACCAGAACCCAAGGTAATCATGACATATCCACAGCCAGTGTGTGATATATATGTTCCGTACACAGGAAGTATTAAGATATTTTATCATTTACGTAAGGGAGATATCGGTAAATGCTCTTACTTCTAAGGAATCATTATCGGTGCAATTTCATATTCTCCGAGTCAGTATCAGTGCGGCCTAGTCCCATGACATGAAACACATCAATCATCTACGAGCATAGCTATGTGAAATAATTTGGTAATTGAAACAGTGTTGTGTATGCACCAATCTACACCAATGTTCGAGGGAAGGAGGGTTAGTGTACATTTGAAAGATCAACAGTGTAGCTGAATTGCTGTGCAGCTACAATTCCATCTATCAGTAGAAACATGTCGAAAACTATTGTTCGCTCAGAAGATCATCATATGTCATATTCATATCATCCAATACATATTTCCTCTGTAACATGTGATGTAATACACATTCAATCTGTAGCATGTCAGCTAAAACAAATCTCCTCTTTACCATTTCAGCTAATACACATTCCATCTGTGACATTTTATCTAATACACATTCCATCTGTAACATTTTATCTAAAACACATTCCATCTGTGACATTCTATCCAATACACATTCCATCTCTGACATTTGATCTAATGCACATTCCATCTGTGACATTTGATCTAATACACATTCCATCTGTGACATTTGATCTAATACACATTCCGTCTGAAACATTTTATCTAAGGCACATTCCATCTGTGACATTTTATCTAATACACATTCCATCTGTTACATTTGATCTAAAACACATTCCATCTGTGATATTTTATCTAATACACATTCCGTCTGTGACATTTTATCTGAGGCACATTCCATCTGTGACATTTCATCTGAGGCACATTCCGTCTGTTACATTTGATCAAATACACATTCCATCTGTGACATTTGATCTAATACACATTTCGTCTGAAACATTTTATCTAAAACACATTCCATCTGTAACATTTGATCTAATACACATTCCGTCTGTTACATTTGATCAAATACACATTCCATCTGTAACATTTTATCTAATACACATTCCATGTGTGACATTTGATCTAATACACATTTCGTCTGAAACATTTTATCTAAGGCACATTCCATCTGTGACATTTATCTAACACACATTCTATCTGTAACATTTTGCCTAATACACATTCCATCTATGACATTTTATCTAAAGCACATTCCATCTGTTACATTTTATCTAATACGCATTCCATCTGTAACATATTATCTAATACACATTCCATCTGTAACATTTTATCTAAAGCACATTCCATGTGTGACATTTTATAATTTACACATTCCATATGTTACATTTTATCTAATACACATTCCATCTGTTACAGTAAACTACGGTTATAACGAACTCAAAGGGACAACTAATTTTAGTTCGTAATAACCGTAGCTCGTTATAAGCATATAAACAGCATATATACAACAAATTGATGGGACTAAAAAATAAGTTCGTTATATCGGTAAGAAATAAACGTGTTCGTTATAAACGTAGTTTACTGTACATATTATCTAATACACATCTGGAACATTTTATCTAATACACATTCCAACTGTTACATTTTATTTAATACACATTCCATCTGTGACATTTTATCTAAAACACATTTCGTCTGTAACATTTTATCTAATACATGTCATATGCACATGCACTCAATCACGTGCTATCAAGTGTACATTCTCTCTGACACAATTGTGTTAAACCGGAGGCAGGGCAGGTCAACTAAGACGCCACAATTCGCTGTGTATAGTTGCGTCACTTTTTTCGCCAGGATCCGCTTTTCGGAGATTCGCGATATAATTCTCTTTTGTCAGCACCATACCCATGCTTGTGGATTTCAGATCTGCACTTATTTGGGCATTCCTCCAACATGAAGCTGACATGCCGTGATAAAACTTAATTCCTGTTTCAAACAACGTCAATCCCAACTCATTCCCTCACTCACTTCTCTCTCACACAATTGAACTTCTCCGCCCACAAACTACCATCTGCAGCGACAATCCTGTCATACAGTCTAATCAATGTCGGTAAATATAAGTTCGATTAATGAGGTAAAACTGGTGATTAAAGAATTATAGCATATCTTGTTAACTTACTTATGTTAAACTGGTGCAGCAAAGGCGCAATCCCACATGCATGTCTAAATGTCTGTGGGTATTTTTTAAAAGGGATTACTTGGTAAACGGCTGAGTCGGCTCGGCGGTTTTCATGATCTTAATTTGTCATATATATATACCGTAATGAGACAACAAGCGGCGCTATTTGACACTAGGTCACAGTTTGGAATTGCCAAATGGCCACAAGGTGACTGCATCCGCCAGAGGAATGACCGCGGCAAGGCCATCATTCTTCAATCACCAGGAAGAATTGGGTTTTAATGTCAATGGAAATTTCATTACCAATTTCAAGTTTATATTTCAATATCATTATCGATCATCCCATCAAATATTGAACAAATATGAATCGATCATTACCTAAACTGAATCTCTAGTCTGTAATAAAGTTCAATCAAATTCGGCATTTCTGGAATAGTTGGCAGTGCAGTGCAAGTAATAGGAATGTCTGCGTTATTTTCGATTCAATAGGGAGCGGTAGATGACTCATGATTCTCAAGTACAGAGAATCATCTCACAAAAAGCTCCGATTTGTCTGATTGATGCGAGGGAAGACCATTCAGGGCTTTTGACTCGTTTTTACGATAACTGACCAATTTTGAAAATGAAATACTTGAATTCTGAGATTCAGTCCTCTGGCGTCTCAAATCTCTGTAGTTGCTGATTTCTCCATATTTTCCTTTCACTGGCACCACTTGATATTTCCAGCTGTAATTTCATCCCGGAACGCAGTCAGTTATTCCTTATTCACATTCCTTGGCTCTGATGGTTAGATAATGTATGTAGAGCTGTATGGGGGATGATCACGCAAGGATTCAGAAGTAGGAGACCCAGCTTCATCCTATGTTATGTCCCCAATACTGCCCTGGGGACTGTTAATATTTCGGAAATAAATATGCTGACTGACAAATTTACAATTTGCTGAATTAAATGTTTTCACGGGGTGAAATGGGGTTTAACATCGCATCCAAGAGTTTTGCAGAGTGTGTGTGAGTGAGTATGGTTTTACGCCGCTTATAGCAATATTCTAGCAATATGACGGCGGGGGATATCAGAAATGGGCTTCACACATTGTACCCATGTCGGGATTCGAACCCGTGACGAGGGAACGCTTTAACCACTAGGCTACCCGACCGACCGACCGACCGTGTGTGTGTGTGTGTGTGTGTGCGTGTGTGCGTGTGTGCGTGTGTGCGTGTGCGTGTGTGTGTGTGTGTGTGTGTGTGTGCTTGTAATAGTCCGGACTGATGCCGAGTTATAGTGCTAGCCCACTCAGATACCGTGCCGCAGTTTAATATGAATACCCCACTCAGACACAATATCCTGACGCCGAGCCAACCGGTCCTTGCTTTAGCCCCTTGATGCCGAGCGCCAGACAGGGTAGCAACAAGTACCATCTTTTAACGTCTTTTGGTATGACGCGGCCGGGAATAGGACACCAGACCTTCCGCTGCCCGGGCGGACGCTTCACCACTAGCCCTTTTCACATTTTAAAGGCGGGTGTGTTGAATATGTTTTTAAACGGGCTTGTTGCAAAGCCCCTATTGGTCGTGTTATTACGAGGAATCATATTCATGAAGTTCTAAAATTAAAACGAAAAAGTACAGGATTCTTTGATGCAGATAATGTTAATGTACCCAATGATATTATTGGTCGAGGGTTCTACTGTAAAATATATTAGCTTTTCAGGCCGATGACCCTGGTAACCACTCATTCACTCACTAATTAAATAAAATTCAATTCATAATAGAAACCACGCTTTTCCGAGAAATGGATTTCGTTGTCACCTTTTGTCATCACTAATTTTCATCCTGACATGTAATATTCACCGCTGTTCTGCCTTACACCCAGTGTGAGGTGAAATGAGATAGAATTTAACGTCGCGTCCAAGATTATTGCACTTGTATAGCGAGGTGTATGGACGTGTGTGTCGGCTTGTACTAGTCCGGACTAACGCCGATGTTATAATGCTAGCCCACTGAGATACCATGCCGCAGTTTAACATGAATATCCCACTCAGACACATTATACTGACTCCAAACCGACCAATCTTTGTTTTAGCCCCTTAATGCCGCGAGCCAGACAGGATAACAAGTACCATCTTTTCACGTATTTTGGTATGACGGGTCAGAGGATCGAACCCCGGACCTTCCGCTCTCCACTAGACCACGGAGGTGGTCCTACACCCAATGGCTTTGGTGGGTAATCAAGACTGGTTATTCTCTGGCGTTGACGTTTTATATTTTATTAATAATAGTTACTGCCTTCGATGAATGGATGAACTGAACTTGAAAGACATATAACCATACCAAGTATACCTGAGATTTATGAGCAGTATAATAATTACGGCAAGGTATTCAACACATGTTATACATGTTCTTCTTTTAAAGTCTTTTATATTGTATTTAGATCATCGACGAAACAAAGGCTTTGCGTGTTTTGTCTGGACACGTTTGTAATCTTAAACTCAATTGTTTGGGGCTTAATCATGTTCACGTTGGGGATATACTTAAACGTGACATTCAATAGTTTACCTTCCTTTCGCCCGTCAACGTGCAGTGCATAAACCATGGTGACAGCAGAACCGGAACTAATGACGCGCCTTGAGTGAGTGAGTGAGTGAGTGAGTGAAGGGGGTTTCGCGCCACAACTGAACGGTAAGAAGAGACCCGAGGCCAATGACTTCAGGAAAGTGAGCGAAATGGTTTGACGCCGCTTTTAGCACGTCACAGCGGGGGACACCAGAAATGGGTTTAACACATTGAGTCCATGTGAAGAATCGAACCCAGGACATTGGCTGGACGAGCGAGCGCTTTAACCACTAGGCTACGCCACCGCCCGCAAGTCGTGAAATGTAATTTTAAGTCTGAAATCTATACTGTGATTTGGTGATCATTCATATCGTATTTTAATAATATCTCTTATCGTAAATATGATTTTTAATTTAAATATTGGATTCCCTGGCATCGTTGGTTTTCATTTTGCTTTAATAAATACAGCAGCATGGGCAAGTCATGGGTTGTAGAAAACTGTTTAGAAAAGAATTTTATCTTATTTTTATGTTTTAACTTGGATGCCCTTGCTGATGTCAAACTGTAATACTTCTGGTAATTTGTCATCTGTATCATCACCATCACCACGAGAAAGTCTTGACAAAGCTGCCAGTCATGCACCTTGCTATTTTGAGCATGACTGGTACTAAACAAATTTAGATCATGAACTTGTTTAGATACCAAATATGATCAGATGTTAATCATGTTTTAATTCTGGACTTGTTTATATTTTAAATAAAGTTTAAATTATGGAAGAACGATACGTTTATAGGTTTCAGTTTAGGATCTAAACATATTTAAAAGTTTATCATTTAATTTTTATCCTTTATGTAAATCACCTAGATGAGCATCTGTCATCTGTTAACACTTTAAATAAATACATCACGTCCACGGTGTCCACCGAAACAGATTCGATTGGGCGTAAGAGGCAATTAAAATAGCCGTGGACATCATATGAATGGATCAGTGAAAATCAGTGATGACACCAGGTGTTCGCGACAAGGGTAAGCATGTCCTGCCCTACCGGTACTATCCGCTACTCACAGGATTTGCATAAAACCATCAGTGTTTGTTGTCATTAATAATGTATACTATCAGCTGAAACTGACTTGTTTCTCGACAACCATTTCCAAAAGTCTGTGTGTAGAACTAGCAGTCTTTTAGTATTGAAATTTTTTTTAGTAGAATTATGAAACCTTGTGTGCTATTTACCTGACACCAGATCATTACATACAATGAGATCACTGTGGTGTTGTTCAGATAGACGTAATGACCTGTCGATGAGACGAATGATTAATTTTGGAATATACATTTATTTCACACGTTGAACATTCTTTTCCATAAGAATAGTAATTGCAGAAAGCACTTCAAGAGAACAAACACGGAAGTATGACGCTCGACAGCCAATCGACCCTACTTCTAACGTATCACAGACATCCAGGTTTATTTACACAAAACTCTTTTTGGTCGACATACAAATATAGCATTAATTGCAAATGCGATGCATTCAAATGCAAACAAACTAACATTGTCGAGTTTATAGGTTAAACTATGTTAGCAATGTACACTAAACATATTGAACATCGAGAAGGCTATTGACATGACAACTAACAATGTATTTGTATTAATAACAACTATCCATGATAAAATGTCTAACTTCACATAATTGATGGGTGTGTTAAATCTATTCTGGGAATAATGATTATCGAAAACAGTGTTTTGACAAGTCTTAGCAACTAAAATCAACTTTTTAGGACTACAAAAACATACGCGCAATGGAGGCATTGAATATGGTTATTGTCCGTCTTGTTAGAAAATATGCTTATTAAAGTGTGTCGAGTATTTACGTATGCAGGACACCAGACAAACAAACACTTACCTGTCAAATCATTTATCTGGATATTGTCGGAGGAATGGTCCGGATCGCGTGGTCCAAGTAACTGTTATTTGAGTAACGTGAGCGTATGATGGTCAAAGATGTAGATGCACGTATTGGTACGTGACAAATGATACCAATGCATCGCATCACCTATACAAATGTTTATTTAATTGTAAATGAGACTAAGAGCTGAGTATTAAACCATGTTTTGTTATCTCTCTCTCTGTGACTCAAGCTATTTGATTAGATTAGAAAACTAAACGGCATAATTTAGTTTTTTAAAACCATCCATTATATTTTCGCGAATTGTCACACTTTGTCCGGTTTACCAAACAAATAAACCATTTCGGACTTTCAAGTACGTATTATTGTATTTCCTCGTTACCGTACGTAAAACAAAAGCATACAAAACACGGACCCATTGTCAACTGTATGATATGTGCATCCTATAAACCTCGCCTCATCATTTCATTCATGTAGTCAATATGCCCCATTGTTTCGAACAAAAACTTCTCTTATGTTTTAACTCACAGAATTTCCTTCTTGCAGACATTCTACAAATAAACTAAAGAAACACAGAAAAACAACTCCCGAGCAAACAATGTGACTTAAAACATCAGCGACCTCACAGCATTCTACGTCATGGACCAGCAGTTCACAGAGTCCTAGTTAAGCCGGGGACATGTTCACAGAGCCACACCCTGCCTTCATGCTAATTACAGACACTCCTGTACCCGATCCTTCCTTCCACAATATGTCAAATTTCGTACATTTCCTGTGAAATGTGACACGCAAAAATTGTTGTCAAGGATCAAATAGGCAATGTACTTATTCAAAGCACATTGGCATTTAATTGGAATACATGAGAAAGAATAAAACCTTTGAGTGTCAGTAAGTGTGTCTTTTATAATCTGGTAGGGTGATCTTGCGAATGTATTGAATATTGTTGCGTTCATGTGTGTTTGCATGTTTAACTGACGGAGACACAAGGAGATTTAGCGTCATGGTACAGTCGTAGCTTTCTCACTTTTTGTCACAACAATGATACATATTCTTCCGTAGGATTAGTTTTAGAATTATTGACGATCTCTAATTTCTGGGGATATATTCAGAAAAAGGAACACGTTTACAGCTTCATAAAATTTATTGTTTAAACTGGTGTACAGAGGTTGCTCAACAAAATACAGTAGTGTACGTGTCTCATGTGTATGTCTATTTCATCTTAGATGACTGAGCAGGTTCAGGAAAAGCCCTGTTGGCTGAATGAGGAGATATATACAGCCACAGGCACCATATACACCTATGGTCCATCACCATGGGGAATACTTTGCGTGATGGTTCTACATGTCTCCGTTATAGTGATATCCCGGTGCACATAATGCAAACAACAGCCTGTCAGTTCTACAGATTGTGTGACAATGTTAAGTAGGCTTGTTTTAGTTCACATAAAACGCCATCCTCGAGGTACTATATCTTTAAGTTGTATATGACGCTTGTAGTTATAACTATTTACTGTTAAAACAGAAATCGGAACTGCATACATGTGACATATACTACCGCTTTGTAATAAATATTTCAGAATAAATATCGTCTTGAAAAAAATAAATTTACGGCGGCCTTTGGGACCTACTATATACAAGCTGGGTGGGAGAATGGGAGGAATATTTTTGTCTAGCTATATTTTCCGGTAAATACTCAAAATAGAATTGTGCTTAAGGTGTTATCCACAGAATTTTGTTTTACGCTGGTGGTTGGATCTTTAAAAAAATGGTCCCGAAATATGCTTTTGCCTCAGGTTTTACAAAAGACATTGCTGGTTTTACTTATATATTTAGACAAAGTGTAAAGAAATCTTGAAGCAGCGTAGCAGTAAATTATTATAACGTTTAAGAAACCATAACAACGGCGCTCCTCACATAGTGACTTTTCTGTCTAGTAAAAATACAACGTCGTAATAATACAATTAGGATAATCAAAAGAATCATATGTTAAATTCAATTCTTTTTAGCTGCATATACATCTAACGATCATTTAGATTCAATCAGACTTCTATTCATTTTAGATCAGTGGATTATAAGCACGTAATATGACTATTATCAGTCTTCAGAATAAGCATACATTATGAGACTTCAAAGCGAAATATTTATGTGGGTATTGTCTTACTGACTGATGTCTAACCAACCTTCAACACCGCCCCAGGAAGCACCCAAATATAAAAAACGCCAAAGCACATATTTACATTATTTATGGTGACTCCTTGGACAGTTATTGACATGGAAAGTGTATTTCGTGCAATAAAAAATTACATTTTTCCACAACTGGTGGGTTTTGGAATGACTCATGCTCTAATTCAATAGGACGAAACTAAAATATTTGCTAATGATAAAATAACGTAATAAATCACTGAGTGAATTTTCCCTAAATTCCTTCGCTCGATCGCTTGATTGATTCACGTGCATAATTCTACCAGGAGTATTTAACGCTTGGAAGCGTACACAAGTTATCCTAGCGATACAGGGTGTAGCCAACGATGGTATTTTATGATATTTCTCAATGTAGAATATTTTGATGTGAAAACTGCCTATGACGGAAGCGGATGGAACGTAAATTTAGTAACCCATTTGCCCGTTCCACTCTATTAGGGGCTTTGCATGAAGCAAATTAGATATCTAGATACGGAAATCGATAATTAAACCATAATTTCAGAGAAAGTCTTATAGTTAATCATTTTTATATTTATTAATTCCTTACGCCGTGCGTTGAATCCCGGAATACTATCTTTCCTCTTTGTTTGAGTTTGTGAATTTATAGCAATACTTTTTTATATATTTATTAATCATCTAAAGTACCGCATCTCTGAAAAAATATCGCGTCAAAGTTAAATCCCATATAACAAATACGTGTCGAATGTATATTTTTATTGCCTTGGTAATCTGTATATTCTCGATATTATTCATTGCCTTCCAGTCGCCTTCGATGTATCTGTGTTCTGGTGTTCGTCAACGTTTGTAAGCCACCATATCCCTTGACATTTATTGATGCAGTTTATCATTTAGCCTGGTGATAAATCCTTGGAGATTAATTTGCTGCAATTGCAAAAGCCACGGCAATGGTATTTTATATACGTGCATTAGTCATGGAGTTTAACTTAAATCAATACCTAGAAAGACTGATGCATGGAAGCTGCCAAGGCAAAGACAAGTGAATCTACCTTGAGGACGTTTCAGTGGACGTGTTAGTGAGTGAGTGGTTGTGTGAGTACTGTTATAAGCATCTGTTGACTATATTCCAGCCTTATTACGTCAGTGGGCACCATGAAACCGCACACTGTGGCGATTCGAACTCGTGTCTGTCTACGGACCATCAAGCCACTGTTTTACTTGCTCGGCTAACATGGGCATGCAATTCATTTCTTGATAGTTGCAAGTGTTGGAACAAACACCGAGCATGATTTACACGTATGACGAGTGTCTATAGAAGTCTATAGCCGAAACTTGAAGACAATCATTTCTTGAACTTTACTAGGATGTCAAAATGCAGGCAGTGTTCTGGTGTTATTTCGTACTCTAAAAACATTTTCATCAGTTCATAAATATATGTTGTCAGCTTCACCTACACCCTTTACCTTATTTCATTCGGGTGGTAGGGTAGCCGTGGGCGGCGGTTAAAGCGTTCGCTCGTCACTAAGAACACCCGGGCTCGATTCCTCAGATGGGTTCAATGCGTGAAGCCCATTTCTGGTGTCCCCTGCCATGATATTGGAATATGGCTAACGCGGCGTAAAATCATACTCACTCAACCTCACTCGAACACGAATATTAACGCAGCTTCATGATGGGGCGCTTGGTGAGACAGAGGATGTCAATGTGTAGATGCCGGTGCTGTATGCACGTACCTATTGTAGTCAAAGATATATCACCGCTTAGTTTTTCCAAAGGGTTAATATAATCACCTTGTCCTAGACACTCAATGGATAGTATGCCTTTGTCCTTCTCAAAAGTACACGGATATGTTCATTACATGTATAAAATAAATTCAAAAATATCTCTCGAGCGGTCAACTCAAAACCATAAAGTTTGGATACAGGCACAGCTATGCTATACTTTCAGTCATGTATGTTAAATGTACGAGTACCTAACATCACGTCATTTACAGTATATTTCTTAAATACCTGCCGGTTATTTAATCGCGATATACTTACATTATTGATAGTCAGTTATATCATCCAACACTCGCCAGAGACTAAAAGAGTGGCGTCCGCCCGGAGAGCGGAAGGTCCGGGGTTCGATCCCCGGCCGCGTCATACCAAAAGACGTTAAAAGATGGTACTTGTTGTTACCCTGTCTGGCGCTCGGCATTAAGGGGCTAAAACAAGGACTGGTCGGCTCGGAGTCAGTATACTGTGTCTAAGTGGGGTATTCATGTTAAACTGCGGCATGGTATCTCAGTGGGCTAGCACTATAAATCGGCATCAGTCCTGACTAGTATAAGCAGCCACACACACACACACACACACACACACACACACACGTGCATGCACGTCGCTATATAAGTGCAATAATCTTGGACGCGACGTTAAACCCAATTTCACCTCACCGTAATTCCAGCCGGATGCTATACGGGTAGCAGGGTTCCGTCAGCCATCCTAGTTTGGTTGATGGCGATCTATAGCCAGAGCTTTATATTGTGATTAGTTTAGTATAGTTAACATTTCAGTAATCTTCATTATAAATGTTCTAGTCACACTGTCTGTCATAATGCCGATGTGACTTTACTTTTAACTCGCTCTCTTACAAACTTTATGTCCAAGGTTATATTATACACGGGAAAGGGTGGTTTTGGGGGTATTAACAAGGAGAATAGACCGCCTCCGTGGTCAGTTGATCGAGCGTCTGCTCAGAGAGCGGACGGTTGGTGCTTCTATCACCTGGCCGCGTTGTACCAAAAGATGTTGAAAGATGGTACTTATTACCCTGCATGGCGCACGGCATTCAGGGAAAAAACAAGGCCTGATAGGCTCGAAGGCAGTATACTGTGTATAATTTATTCAACAAGATCAATCTCCTTTTCCCTGGCTCGGCTAACAATTTGTACTGAACACTTCACACAGTTCAATCTGGTTAACTCCGCTTTTACCATCGCAGTGACAAAAAACAATCTTGAATGAAAAAAACAATATTATTCTCACTGGTGAAATAGCAGATGCAGCTAGCAAACCTTTTAATTATTCAGTGACATCAGCATAACGCTATGCGTCAATATCATGACGTTATTGAACAGACACGTGACACTGCCAGGATTCCAATTGGAGATTCTGCATAGACGTTTTTTGAACATAATATCATGGAGAATAAATGTACAGGCTAATCATGAAAAATAATGTGCTTATTTCATCTCGTGGCCATATGATAAATGCAACTGATTTGTGTCAAAGGCGATGTCTATATCGTGTTCATGACGTTGTGTTTCCATTGTTTAAAAGCAGCTTAATGTTGTACATGTAATTCATGTCCTCAAGTCAAAATTCCTAATCTAACAAATACACACTGTATGTCAGAGAACACTGCCAGGTTGAAAACACAAAACTTTAAAATTGGATTTGACCGAAAAATTACAAACGTTGACAAAACAATACCAGATTGACAACAATCACAGAAACACTGCCAGAAACACAACTCTGATACGAAAGGTTGCACGGGAATCACGCACGCACGAATTCGGTGTTAGCGTTGGGCGTCTCAACGTGCGTGATTCCCGTGCACCCCTTCGAGTTGAGTTGATTTGCTGAACTGTGTCATATGGCCCTGTGACGCAGGGGTAGCAATATGCAGATGGTTGTTTCAATGAATGCTCGTTCCACCCGTGACGAATAGGTCTGGTTGTTGATGAAA